TTTGAAAATGAAACGACAGAACTTTCGGACCCACCTAATATATGCTGCTTTCTAGGGCATTTGAAGCTCCAAGTTTGAATTTCAGAAAATTAATGCTTTTCAAGTACCGAACTCATTCAGTATCACCCAGTTCCCTTTTTCCAGATGTTCGACTTTTTATAAAGCTTTTCTTTTGAGATTCATTTCTTTTACAAGGAAAGTTCAAACGTTCATTCCCCAAAATTTTCAAAAAAAGTAGAATCTTACTGAAAGATCAAGCTTGTGTTTCTTCCCGCAGAATGTGCAACCGGTGACAGCAGAGTATCGTCCCGGAACATAATTTGCCAAATAATTCAGGTGGTTTTTGCTTGGTCCGTTGCCGTGCAGAAGGGCCGGATGGGTATTGAAAGCTGCGTTGTGGGCCAAAAAACACAGATATTATATTCTTCAAAGTCCTAAAAATATTACCTACCAATGCTTCACCAGTATCCTCATCAAACTGAATTTCGACATCGTCGGTTACCCCGTTCAAGTTTTGGAAAATGCGAGACGCCGAGTCAAGTCCAATTTGGAGTTCATCCTAAAATTTCTCACTATTTTATGAAAAAATTGGCAATCCCTAAGTGGCCAACCCGCAGATCCACATCTAGGTAGATTTTTGTGTAGTAGAGCTGATCGTCTTCATCATCTTTCACTTCTCTCAAAGTGATCATCTTATAAAAGTCCTTAGCGTAACCGAGGAAAAGGCCAGAATTGAGAAACCTAAACATTAACAATCTCCTAAGGATAGGCAGCAGTTGGTCAATAAGTGACTTGGGACCTTTTACCAAATCCGACAAGTGGATAGTCCACAGCCAAGGATTCATCTGGCCAGCAATAACTCTCTGCACCGAACAAAATTCTTTTACCTGGGAAATGCGTTTCAAAACGTTCGAGAATTGTAAGTGGTCCGGCAGTGAATACTACATCGTATCTGAAACACTAACATACACTCCTCAAAATCTCATTTCAACAACCTTCACTTTCTAAAGTCTCTGTCATTATATGCAGAAGAATTTCTACATTCATCCTAATCTTGTAACGAGCTCGATTTTTTTTTTGGAAACAGGCTCAAATTTTTGACTCAAAACATTTGCAAATTTCGAAAACTGCTAAGAGACAAGCCATGCTCGTTCCATGCGAAGGGCAAATCCAAATTGTACACAATTTTTTTCTGCTTTTGGACTTCACTTTTAGCAATTTACTTTCCTGATAATGCGTCTACAGCTTCTTCTCATCGTTAAGTACGCCTTTCATTCTCGAAATATTGCTTTGAGGACTTGAAACGCTTCCAACTGATATACATGAATCCCTATACTTCCCACTTTATGATGACTATCGTGGGTGGATTCACTCGTACCTTAATGTGTGTACCTCAGGTTATATGCTACATCACACGCCGATGTTTCACTTGTGAGTCGCCATATCCTGCTACTTCTTACTCCTTTTCAAGGTTTTGGTGCATAAGTAACCTCAAACAAACACATGCAATATCTCTTGTCGGGTTTGCAGCATTAGATACGCTAAAGTATTGAGATTGAGGAGCCGTGAAATTCGCGCATTGTGTGCAAGCTTTCACTCTAAGTT